CACACCTGCAATCCTAGCACTCAGGAGGCTGAGGCAGGAGGACCGTTGGAAATTCGAGACCAGCCTGGGCTACAAAGTGAACTCAAGGCCAGACTGAACTGCACAGTGAGACCCTGTCTCAAAAAGACAAAAAACAAAAAGAATATAAATCCCTTACGTCCATCCCTAGGGAGGTATACAGGTGCATTTGTTTATTTATTTATTTATTTGTTTGTTTGTTTATTTGGTACTGAGAATCTACCTCACAACCTGGTGCTTGCCAGGCAGGCGTTGTGCCACTGAGCTATATCCCCAGCTATGTGTACATTTGTTTAATCTTTTGTCTTGAGGTCTGGCCTGCAGCAGAAGTGCCGGTCTCTCCATTTGCAAGGTATCCCATCTTCTGCACTGGCTTCTTCAAGGGCCTAACCCTGTCTGACTGCTTATAATTTTTTTTTTTTTTTTTTTTGTCTTTTTGAGACAGGGTTTCGCTGTGCAGTTCAGGCTGGCCTTGAGCTCACTTTGTAACCCAGGCTAGTCTCGAACCCGCAGTGATCCTCCTGCCTCAGCCTCCCAAGTGCTGGGATTACAGGCGTGAGCCACCATGCCTGGCAGTGCCTATAATATTTCTAACTCAGCTGCCTACAACAGTCAGGCCTCAGGAGAGAGGAAATGACTATAGCCATGTGCTTCCCCTAGGGATAAACAGCAGTGATTGATGTTCTAAAGAGGCGTCAACCACCTTGAGGGGGGAACCGAACCTCCATCCCAGGAAAAGTCTCTGTTCAGTCCATGTACCCTTGATATGTGCCTTGCTTCCCCATTTGCTCCCCATGCAATCAATATAACCTAAGTGCTTATATTTGTAATCTTATTGGTTGACTATAGTTTTATCCCACCTCATACGCATGCGTGATTTCCCATTGGATCAGTTACTCAAGCAACTATACTTGTAATCTTACTGGTTGATTACAGTTTTGTCCCACCTTAGCTGTCCACCGCCTTAACCACTCGGCCACCTTGTCCCCAAGCGTTACTTTTTTTTTTTTTTTTTTTGGGTATCGGGAATTGAACTCAGGACCTTGCATTTGCCAGGCAGGTGCTGTGCTGCTAAGCTATATTAACACCCCTTGTCCTACCTTATACCTACCTTACCTTGTGGTTTTTTCTCTATAAAACTCCCTTGAAGTACGGTGTGGTGGAACATGCCTGTAATCCCAGCACTGGCAAGGCTGAGGCAGGAAGATTGCTGCAAGTTCAAGGCCAGCCTGGGTTACAAAGTGAGTTCAAGACCAGAAAAAAAAAAAAAAAAAAGGAAAAAAAAAAGACCAGCCTGAACATCATAGTGAAACCCTGTCTCAAAAAAAGACCAAAAGCACCACAAACCCTTGAGAAGCAGGGTCCCTGAGCACCCACTTGGGACCCCTTCTGTCTCTCTAAAGACAGAAGCTTTTCTTTCTCTCAATAAATACTTCCTAGCCGGGTGTGGTGGCGCATGCCTGTAATCCCAGCACTTGGGAGGCTGAGGCAGGAGGATCACTGTGGGTTGGAGACCAGCCTGGGCTAAAAAGCAAGCTCCAGGCCAGCTTGAACTGCATAGCAAGACCCTGTCTCAAAAAGACCAAAAATAAATAAATAAATAAATAAATAAGTAAATAAATAAATAAATAAATAAATAAACTTCCCACTCTTAACCTCCCATTGTTCCCAGAATTCATTCTTTGATTTTAGAGAACATGACCTCGGCATATTGGACAGCTAACAGGTCAGAAGCTGTATTTCCCTTATATTATTTGGATTATTTGGAGGTCCTGTTATCATCCCTGTATCAACTTGGGTTGTACCTGGAAGCACTGAGGTCAGGATCTTTAGGGGTAGGAGGCAGGTCTGGGGACCATGGGAGAGTGCCCCTGGGGTGCAGGGACTGTGAGGAGCCCTGGCTGGGGTGGGACAAGGCAGGGGAGAGCCAGAGGTGGGCGGTGGGAGCTCAGCTCCACTTACTGAGGGACCATCCTGCATGCAGCACAGAAAGCATAAAACCATTTCACTCACTTGGGAAGGTGTCTGCAGGCCAGGAGTCCGGACAGTAGGGTTGGGCATGTGGCTCTGTGGCACAGCGTCTGTCTAGTGTGCATGAGGTCCCAGCACCAGAAAAAATAATCCAGATAGGGTTGGGCTGCATCGCACAATGCTGAGACATGAGTGTTTGGATGACAAGAGCGCCAGGGCCTGGGCTGGGGTGGCCAAGCACACGCTTGGCATGTAAACTAAGACTGAACAAAACTTAAAACTAAGTTCAACTGTACCAGCCACATTTCAGGTGCTCAGGACTGTCAGGCTGGGCAAACAGACACCCAGTGAAAATGCAGGGGCTCCTACTGAGGGCCTCATCTCCTGGCCCCAAGCCTCATCCGGTGGTGGGCCTTGTCTGTCACAGGGCCTGAAACCCCGTGCAGAGCGGCGGGAGGCGCTACTGACGCAGCCAGACAATGGAGACAGCATGGAGCATCACCATCAGGGCACTGCGTCTCCAGCTGACTTGGGATTTCCTCTTCTCTGGCCTTAGCTGCACATGCCAAGGGCAGCCCCGGGGCTGCTCCGTGGGTGTGCCTGCTTGCTTGCTTCCTCTACTCCTGTCACTGTTTCTGTTGAGACAGGGTCTTGCCATGTAGTTCAGGCTGGAAAACTCTCCCATGGGTCTCCACGAGGGCTGTTTCAAAGGGAGAGGGCTGGTAAGGTGCCCTGTGGAGCATTTGCCTGGCATGGAGAGGTCCTGGGCCTGACCCTAGCACCGCAAAGTACCCAAAGACAACATTCTTTATTCTTTTTTTTTTTGGTCTTTTTGAGACAGGGTCTTGCTGTGCAGTTCAGGATGGCCTTGAGTTCACTTTGTAGCCCAGGCTGGCCTCAAACTCTCAGCGATCCTCCTGCTTCAGCCTCCTGAGGGCTAGAATTACAGGTGTGTGCCGCCATGCCTGGCAAAATGCCCTATTCCAAGAGAGGGATAAGCCAACAGCTGGAAACCTCTGGAAATGAACCCAAACTCACACCCTGAATCATAAACTGCACATATATCTATGGAATGGAAAGCTACCCGGAAACATGTCACAGCTCAATAAAGCAGGGGACTTTGTACTATATTTGTGCATGGTCTGATCTCTCACAAATACACACTGCCTTTTTGTTTTTTGTTTTTTGTTTTTTTTTTTTTTGAGACAGTCTATGCAGTTCAGGGTGGCCTTGAACTACATAGCCCAGGTTGGTCTCAAACTTGCAGCAATCCTCCTGCCTCAGCCACCCAAGTTCTGGGACTACAGGTCTGTACCACTAGGCCTGACAAATAAGTATTACTTTATAGTTGAAAATTACGATTAGGCTAGGCATGGTGGTGCCTGTCTGTAATCCCAGCACTTGGGAGGCTGAGGCAGGAGGACCACTGGGAGTTGGGAGAGGCCAGCCTGGGCTACAAAGTGAGCTCGAGGCCAGACTGAACTGCACAGTGGAACCCCCTCAAAAAAACAAAAATAAAAATAAAAACAAAAAGTCAACTGAACTCCCAACATGGAGCCATTTTCGGCAGCCCAGCCTTGGGAGCAAGGAGCGTAGACTCTGTGCTGAGGGTTGGGTGGACAGGGAACCGCTACACCAGACCCCAGCCAGCTCCACTCTCAGCTGTGTTCCGCCGTCCCTTTCAGGTGTCACACGCCCGCTCTAAGTCCCCAGTGCCTCACAACTGAACAGGGCTCAGCAGCAGGCACTGCTCTTGGGCAGCCCAGGGCCTGGCCTGCAGGTTGTAGGAGGAAGGTGGGCGGGGCCTGGCACTCACTTCCTCCTCCACTGGTAACAGAGCTGCCTTCAGTGCACAGCCCCAGACTGAGAGCAGAAAGCATCTCTGCACCAGGGGTGCGCTTGCCTCGGTCCAAAGCGTTTCTCACTAGGTTAAACACCTAACACATAAATGTGGCTTTGCATGGCTGACGTTAACGCAGCCACAGCTGCCCTGGGCTGGACTCGCAAGGTGCCACTGCTACGTGCCCACCTGCTCCACTCATTCTCAGCTAAAGCCATGCACCCTATGACCTAAAGCCCTGGGCAGAGGTGCCAGGACCCCAAAGCTGCCTCCTACTAGGCCCGCCCCATCTGACACTGCACCTCGTCCCAGCATTGTCACTTCCCAGGTGCCAGCGGCCTCCATCCTGCCAGCAGTCCCCCACGCCATTAGCACAGACCTAGCCGACCCGCACCACAGCCCACAGCCGTAACAGAGCAGGGGGCGCTGTAAAGACAACTGCAGTGCAAACCAGGGCCCGCGGGTGTTGCCAGGAAGCTGGTCAGATCCAGGTGAGCAACCATATTGGGCTGCAGACCTCTGAAGCACAGATCAGACCTGAACAAATGCTGGGACCCCAAGGCCAGGAGCCAGCTCAAGGAAGCAGCCTCTGTCACTGGGGTGCTCACGGGTATCCTGCAGCCAAATGCAAGACAGGGATGGACCACTGCAAGCTACAGGGATTGCAGGAGGTCCCACGGGCAGGGCTGACGCTACCGCCACCCGTGACCAGCCAGGGAGGCCAGACACCACCATGGCCAGTGGCAACATTCCAGTGGTGACCACACTGCACCTGGACGGCTCACCCAGGTACCAGCTATGATAGAAGCTAGGGGTGGAGGTGAGTGGTATCTTTACCCTAAGTAGAGGTAGAAGTGAGCTTCAGTGAGCTGGGGTAGACCAGGCGCAGGACTTCAGCTGAAGTCTGCTCAGCCTGGGCACCGTTCATTCACAGCCAAGCTCGCACAGCCAGCAGCAGTGGGGGCAGGGGCAGGCAGGGGTATGCACGCAGACCCAGATGACCTGATCTACTCCCCTCCCCAAACTCCTGCACTGCCCCGCAAGAACCTTTAATAAAGGACTGGTCAACAGCCTTCAAAAACAGCACCTTCAGGAGCCCTCTCGCCACGGCCAAAGCCCTCAGCTCCTGGGACACATCCAGCCTTGCTGTCACAAAACCACTCAGCAGCAGCATGGTTTCTTATTTTATTTTACACTTTATAAAAAACATAAGCCCAGACACAGCCCGCCCCACCGAAAGGGAGGGGCTCACACCCTCTGGTGCAGACCCGGCCATGCTGTCTGTGCACAGCCTCAGACACCTCTCCCCTCAGCTATTTACACCTGAAGCTGGGCTTTGAAGGGCACATAAAGATGCACATCTTCCTGCCCCGCAGTGCAACAGAGCCAGGAGCAGTAGGGAGTGGAAAGCACTTCCTGTGGCACCCAACGCGTCACCCTTGGTGCATCTGATCTGAGCCACACCCGCTGGGAACCACACCTATGTGGGCACAAGGCTCCCACCCTCCTTGGCAACAGGAGAATCCAGTGTCCAGGGGCTGCCACGCTGAGGTATTAAATGTAGAAGGAAAAGATTAGTCATGTCCAAGTAGCATGCGATAAAAATTTTTAAACCAACATGGTTAAATGTTAAAAGATTTTTAGAAATCAAAATATTTATTCACATAATTGTAAGCTAAAGTCAAAGCTAATCATCTATGGCAAGGACGGAGGTGCAAGTGGCGCTGGTTTCACACAAGTCTTCTTCCTCCGGGGCAAGCGAGGAGTGGTCGGTCAGTTGCTCTTGAACAAGTCAATGCAGCTCTGCAGAAGGGAAACGTTGTTCTGGAAAAGGAAACCACGGCAAAGGTCAGGGCAGACCAGCGACTCCTGAGAGCCATCAGGCTGCACCCAAGAACGAGGAGAGCCAGGTGCGGCAGCAAGCACACACCCCACTCTCGGGAGGCGGGCTGAGGGCGCGAGGTACTGGCTGCCCAGGGAGACTGCTGCAAATGCCCGAGGGCTGGGATGGCAGCGCACTGCAGAGAGCACTGGCCCAGCCCTGGCTCCGTGTCCCGTACTGGCTTCCCCGAGCCATGGGTGAGATTACCAATAAAATCACAAGTTATAATTAACCCTAATGACTGTAAACTTGCATCCCTGAGCTCTTGCTTTAAAGAAATTTCTTTGGCAAGTGAGAGGGGGATGTAAAATGAAGATGTGTTAGATACACATGCCGATACCAACGAACATCACCCCGGGCACATTTCTATAATGTCGCCTTACAGCTCCGCCATAAAGCTGACCTGAGAAAACCAGAAAGTGAACTCGCCTGCGCTGCCCACTCCCTGCCTGAGGCCCTGCCTCACAGTTCAAGGGCAGCCACTGTCAGCTCCTCTCCGAGGGACACCAGGCTCCAGGCTGACCTAGAGGTCACACCAGGCAGCAGCCTGTAAGACGGGGAATGGAGCGCCCCTCAAAAGGCTGGACTACGGTACCCGACCCCAAAGACCCCAGTAGAAAACACCACTCTCCCATTCCTGTGCTCAACCAAGCTGCACAGGTCAAATCTACACAACAGGAAGATAAAGCCTCTGCCTGCTCTTAAACCAGGAAAGAGTGCTGGAGGGCCACTGGTAAAGGAGAGAAGTTTCTAAGCCATGGCACTGACTGAGCCCTCAGACACAACCCCTGGCAGGCACCTCCCTGCAGGGGACAGGACCTCCCCAGAACGCTCCTCCCAAAGCATTTCAAGGTGAGGGGGCAGGGGTTTTCAGCTTCCAGCAGCTAAATCACCACTGAGCACACCCCACTGCACTAAGGGTGCCAGGCCAGTGCCTGACCTCCGTCTGCAGCAGCACTTACTCTGGCGTGCTTGATTTCCAGCTCCGACATCTCAATCAGATTCTTCCTAAATGCTGCCACTCTCTTCCTTTTGAAGTTCAACAGTTCTACAGAGAGAAAAAGCTCAGTGTTTTCCAATCCAAGCCAAGCTCCATATCCACATTCACAGAACCTGCACCTTCCTTTTCTGGCAGCGCTGGGGATGGAGCCCAGAGCCTCACATGTACTAGGCAAACCTTCCTAAGGCCAATTCAAGGGCAGCCACTGCCAGCTCTTTGTGAGGCCACCTCCCCAGCCCATTTTATCTGAGACAGGGCCTCACAAAGTTGTCGGGCTGCCACTGAACCTCCTGAGATCCTCCTTCCTCAGCCTCCCCAATGTGGTAGGCTTTCAGCCAACACAACTGCAGCTGGCCCCAGTATCACTTCCATAAAAGATCTGCAAAGACATCCTGTCCTCGCAGTTTTTAAAGAACTGGGACTGGGACAGATGTCTCAGTCACTGTGACCAGGGCCTGGATAACTTAGTGAGACCCTTCCTGCAGCCAGCAGCCCGTTTCTGGCAGGAAGGAGGGATGAGGAGCAGGACAGAGGCAGCTTGCAGGTGTGGGGGGGAGGGAGGCACCCGGCTGGGCACCCACTCTTCACCATGAGGGACAGGGGACACAGGGGACACGTCACTGGATGTGCCTATGCACAAGGAGACAGACCACCAAAACCAGGGACCGCCTACTTGTGAGAGATGACCTTAGGGAAGGGCGACACAGCTAAGGTAAACAAACACTGTTTCGGGGCCAAGAGGCCACCCGACTGGAAACTCAAGCAGGATTTCTGAGATGGAAGAGCACACACACAACTGAATCCTGCGTGGGCCCGAAAACCCAGGTGTGTGCTCATAAACACGCGTGTGAGGAGGGCAAGGTTGCACAAGTGACAAAGACTGGGACGGGCACTGACAACTAGTGACTGGCAGTAGCCTCAGCTGCTTCTGTACTCGTGTGCAACTCATCCCTCTGATTTCCGCATCGAACACTAAGGGCCCAGAAGAGCGTTCTGCTCCACCTTCCTTCGCGGACTCTGAGAGCTGCTCGAATTTCTGGCAGCACTGCTGCTGGTGTGCCTCGGCCACCTTCACGTCTCGGCTCTTCAGCCGGGCCTTGTCCAGAGCTTTGTTCGAGTTCTCGTAGTCAATGAGGGCTTTGGTGCGTCTGTACAGGAGGTCCTGCGAGAGGACAGGGACAGCATAAAACCTCTGAAGAAAGCGGGACAGGCAGGTGGCGGCCAGCGCCCACACTGCCTGACCGCTACGCATGAGATATCTCTCCATGTCACAGTCACGAGATTTACAGAAGGGCGCGCAACTCAACATCTGAGAACTTTCAGAGGTTTCTATGCAGCTCAGGTGAAAAAGCCCAGAATAAAGACAAAACACACCCAGTTGCCACTGGGGGAGTCGAAGGGATGAGGCCGCCCAGCAGCCCTGCTTCCAGGAACCCACACTGTGGTCCTGCTCCCCTAACAGACTGTGGCCTCACAGGGAAGCAGAGGTTCCCACAGCATCTGTGACAGGCAGTCACGGTGCACGTGTGACACAGATTGTGCAATCTCTCAAAGTTCAAGGGGCTGGGGATTTAGCTCAGCGGCTAAAAGCGCCTGCCTGGCAAGCGCAAAGTCGTGAGTTCGGTTCCTGGTACCAGAGAAAAAAAAAAAAAAAAAAAAAAATCAAAGTTCAAGACTGGCAACTGTTAAAAATCATCGACATTACTGTATCTACTTTTATGTATGTATAAAAAATATTAAGGAAGCTCTTCTCCTGTCAAACTAGAAAATACACTATAAATTATCAGCCTAAATCTTAAAAACCTCCCAGACCACAGAAAGCCATGTGCTAAAAGGCCCACTGTGGGCCGCGGACAGGAGCACATGCCGCGCGCACACATGATCTGGAAGTGGCCCCAGCTCCTCCTGCACTACAGTGGCTGGAAAGGTGCTCAGCTCAGACTCCCGCCCGGCTGTGCCCGGCCCTCCAGCTCCGATGTACCTTGGCAGCCTCGATGTTGAGCATGTAGTAGCGGAGCAGCTCCGTCAGCTTTAAGTCCTCGTCTGAGGAGACGCGGCCCTCCACTTTCTGGTTAAGTAAGGGAAAGGTCATCATCAAGGCAGATGTCTGCAAACTAATCAATTCCTATCATCAAGGACACAAAAATCTTACCCGAAGTTTTTCAAATAGCTCAGCAACCTTCAATAGGTACCTGAAAATGTACACAAGACAAAGCTGCCATTTAAAGTCCTGAAAGGTCTATGCGATATGATCTTATCAACGCTCTAACATGTGAACCTCTCCCACCACAAACTCCCAGGACAGGAAAAGGGAAATGAAAAGCTTAGTATGGGCCTAAGGATCACACATTATTCTCATAATCAAATCCCTTCAATAAAGTGGGCATCACCAAGCCAAATGGCAAGAACCTATTGCGTGAGGACACAAGCCAAAATCCTCTCAAAGGTGACAAGATCACTATCCTGAGCAGATATTCAGCGTGACAGGACGGAAGGCAAGGACACATCTGCTGACGGCAGAGGGCCTGCTCCATCCCAAAACTGCCTCCCGCCCATCAGAACTGCCTCCCACCCATCGTGTCTCGCTGCGCCTCTCCGCTGGGACAGTGCTTTCCAAACACTCACTTCTTGATGATGGTGGGCTCCTCCAGGGCCAAGCTGTGCAGGCAGGCTGCTGTGTGGATGTAGTCGTCGGCGACACCTGCAGAGACAAGCACAGCCCTCTGCAGAAGGGAGCGGATGCGGTGGGGCCCCCACAGCTGTGAGGGGCGCGTGCTTACTTTTATGCGCCCGGGTCATCCTGTCAGCTTTGCCACAGGAGTCCTTGATCCTGTTGTAGTAGTTAACCAGGAAGTTCTTCTCCTGTTCAAAGAAGTCGTCCACCTCCTGGGAGGAAGGAAGAAGGAACACAAGCAGAAACCCGACACGTGAAGATGAGCTTTATACCAGAACGAACAGTACAACAGCAAGTTGGAATTTATACCTTCACACATTGGGGACCTCTAAATCTAAAGGGTACTCCCAGGACCAGCAAAACTGGGCACACACAGGAAACATCAAGAGACAGAACCATTCTGAGGAGTATTTTTGCCAGTGCCAGGAATGCAGGCACCAAGACCCAGCGAGTCTGCTCTGGGCAGTGGTCCTCCAGGTGGGTGCTCAATGCATGCTGGAGGACTGGTTAGCTTTTAACCTGGCTTGCTTCAGTCTGTGTGGCAACTCTGCTCATCAAGCTGGCGCCACCCATGCCACAGTTCACAGACACAGGGCACCCACGACCTTGCCCTGTGCCAGTCTCCAAATTTCTGCTGCTGCCCTCCCTCCTTGCCAGGCCTAGAGGGGCAAAGCCTGTGTAGGGAGGAGCCCGTGTGAGAGCCGTACAGCTTCGGGTGGGTGAGGAGAGCAGGAGTCACAGCTGGGGCAAGAGGGACCCAGTCTAACACTTGCATGGTGCTGCCCACAACCAACAGGTGAAATAAATTTTAATATTTCATGGATCTAAAAATGTCATTTCAGACCAACGTGAGCAAGACACTTTCTGTTCTTTTCTTTGTACCAAGTCCTTCAAATGCAGCAGATAAACAAAACAATCTGTGGTGCTGTAACTGTATCACCACTGGCCACTGGAGAATGGCACACAAGACTCACCTTTCGCCTTATTCCACTTTTTCTTTTTAAAGACAGGGTTTCACTATGTAATTCAGGCTGGCCTCGAGCTCAATGATCCTCCTGCCTCAGCCTCCTGAGTGCTGAGAATACAGGCGTGCACCAACACACCCCACTCATTCTGCTTTCTCTTATTTATTTGTCTTTTTGAGACAAGGTCTCACTATGCAGTTCAGGCTGGCCTTGAGCTTACTTTGTAGCCCAGGCTGGTCTCCAACTCTCAATGATCCTCCTGCCTCAGCCTCCAGAGTGCTGAGATTACAGGCATGCGCCACCATGCCTAACTTTTTTCATTCTGCTTTTTAGAAGTGAGTAGCCTCTGTCCTTGTAGAGGAGAAAACTAAAGACTCTAGTGGCAAGGTTCACCTCAGCCCTGAGAGAGGACAAGGCTGTGCTGGGGAGGTGACAGCCAGGGGATGAGCAGCCTGTGTCGACTCAGCTCAGGCACTCCCAAAGCCTTGCATGTGGAGGCCAGGTGCTGGGGTGCTGTGCGGAGGCCCATCTGCCCACGCCTCCTTCTGCCCTGGGAGTCAGAGACCGCGAGGCTGAACAGAAGTCACCTCTTCTCTAAGCTCCGGCGTCACAAGGACCTGTAAGGCCACTTATTCCCAGTGATCTAGAATATCCCCAGCCCAAAGCCCTTACCTTAACTCCAGAAAAGAGAACTTCGTCAGCACTCTTCACCACACTCTTGAAAAACCCACCAAACACCTCTTTGGTGTTCTTCCGCCTGACGCTTAGCTATGAAAGGAAATCCCAAAAGACAAGTTATCTTATATGGTTTTCCTAGGGATCCCACACCGGTCCTGTGTATCCCCAGTACCCTCTACTAACACAGCAGGAGCACCAGCCTTGACTGGGCCGGCCCACCCAGAGCCCTAGGCTCCCAGGGATCTGTGCAGCTGTGCAGTGCTAAGCTATTGGCTCCCTGGCCCTGGCCATAGTCACCGCGCTGCTCTAGCTCACACTATTAGGCTCTCAGTGTCAGGAAATACTGAAGAAATGTGCACACTGGGGCTTGCCTCACACTAACTCTAAAAACTTTACCAGTGAGTTTTTAGTTGCCCAGGCTAGACTCAAACTTGCGATCCTCCTGCCTCAACCTCCTGAACATCTGTGCAGATAGGCTCATACCACCTACTGGCTAAAGCCTATTTTTAAAAGCCCAACCACACATTTAATTTAAAGGACCACAAAAACAGAATAAAATTGCCTTACATCCTGATCATATTCCAGGAAAACATGGAAGTTGCGGTCTTTACTGAGAACGGGGTGAGAAGAGAGCCGCTGAAGAAAGACTTCATGGGAGGACACAGTCTTCTTAAAGACAGCAAGGTACTCCCTGCAAAAACACCACAGGACCCTGCTGGCACACCGCTCCCTGCTGACGGGACTGCTCCACCCATCCCACTTAGAATACCTCCCCTAAACCAGCACAATATTTTGGCCTAACTTGGTCTCCAGTCAGGGACTAAATTCAGAAATGCAGGGAACAAACAAGTCGGGGAGGAAGTGGTGCTGTATGGACCTGCTGGACAGGCCAGGCCTAAGCCCATTTACACCCAGCCACTGGGACAGCCCAGCCGCTCTGGGCAGCGTGGGACCCAGCAGGACAGGAAGGAGCTGTGGAGATGGCGCCCAAGGCCCTCACACCTACCCCTGCAGAGGGCTAGAATGTTCTGAGCCAAGAGGGGCACGAAAACCCAGCCCCAAAGACCACCTCATTATCTGCTAACCTTTCAAGATACTGAAATGGTACTATATGTGATTTTAGAGTTCACATTTGGCTTGTCTGATTTTCATTTTAAAGCCAAATACTACTTAAAGGGCATTAGTTCTCAAGAATGCAAGCCTACAACTATGACACAGATTAAAGAATCCATTTTTGCTCAAAAATTACCACTAGTTTAGAATATGCTGCCTGGGGCCCGGCCCCTCCTATGAACATCAAAGCAGTTACTTGGAACATCCTAGCAGCACTTGCAGCAATCTAGTTTTTCTTGTACTTCTAGTAACCAAACTTCAAGGGGAAAAAATCTTGCTATCAGCAGCCTGAATATGTATAATAAGCCAAGTGTGATGCTACGCATCTGTTATCCCAGCACTCTGGAAGCTGAAGCAGGAGGATTGCCATGAGTTCGAGGCCAGGCTGGGCTACATAGCAGTAGAAAGCCCTTGCCTCAAAACAAAAACAAGAGAAATACATAAAGGGTTCATTTCTTCACTGTTCAGGCCCACAGCCCTAACAGGTACAGCCCGAGAGGAGGAAAAAGCAGTCTGCACTGTAAGTGACCACTAGGAGCATATCCCACCCTCGGCAAAATGCAGTGTCCTAACAGCAGCAGGCAGCTAAGAGCTACACTGAAAATAAAAACCCAAGAGAGCTTGGCTTCAGGTTCTCCTCTGGCGCACATGGCACCGTTTTGCTGCCTCTCAGTGGTGCAGCCAGTGAGAGCACTTGCACTTACGCCTCCAGCTCCTGCTTCATCTTGGCAAATTCCTCCTTGGTCATGGACCCTTCCCCCTCTCCCAGCTTCTGCATCTTCTCTCGAGGGCCATCGAAGTCTGGCTTTGTAGGAGCCGGAGGGATCTGCAGCAGGGACAGGGGCAGTGAGCATCGCGCCCATCAGTGCCCGCCATCCACCCACACCTCACCCCCGCCGGATGAAGACTGTGTGTTCAGCTACACACACCGCGAGAGTCGCAGCTTCCAGACACTTTGACACCAGCTTCAAGTGTGTCGTATAACCAACGTCAATATAAAAAGGAACCTTTCTAGTTCCAGGGGGTAATCAAGAGTGTCACTTAGAACAAAAGCAACTTTTCTACAAATACCAAGCACTGACTTTGTTCAGTAAGTCATCTGTTACTAAGTCAGCATTTGGTAGATTCTTGGTCTCCTGGCAGCTCAGGATGCACTTAATCCTCATCTGCAATCACCCCTGTTCCTGTAGGCAAGGGTTAATCAAGAGCCCCCTTTGCTCTGCGGCGCTAGAGAAATCTTACTGCACACTGTCAGCAATGCTAAGGTTTCCTAGAAACCAATTCTACTGAACTCAGAGAACCACCGAACTGAAAGGTAGGTAAGATTTGTTTTTGTTTTTTTTTGTTGTTTTGTTTTTTCTCCGGTACCGGGAATCGAACTCACGACCTTGCGCATGCCAGGCAGGCGCTTTTGCCGCTGAGCTAAATCCCCAGCCCCCAGGGTAGGTAAGATTTGAATCATGAAACTGTTGACCTTCTCACAGTGTACAGTGCTATGTGAGCCTCCCACATTGTTCTCCACATATTTCAGACTTCACCGGTGATGGAGAAAACAAACATTCTGGGCTTTATTTCCCTTTCTAAATAAAGTGTACTCACAATAAGCCCAGCGTAGTCTGTCGTTTCAATGAGAGTGTCATGTAGCCACACAAAGTCCTCATGTTGCCTCGTAACAGAAAACTCTGGACTCTGAAACGCAGGCAGTGTGGTCTGTGGAGACAAGGGAGCTGTTGACTGCTAAGCACCACCTGATGAGACGCCCTGACCAGCACTGTGGGAAAATTCTGCCTAAAACACCAGTCAGAGCCCATAAAGAACAAAGCACTCAGCAGTTAGGAGGCTGAGGCAGGAGGCTCACTGCAAGTTCGAGGCCAGCTACATCGTGAGTTCAAGGACAGCCTGAACGACACAGCAAGATGGTGTCTCAAAAAAAGCAATACTACTGCATGTCCCTATCAAGAAACCTAGTAGCCAATACTCAAAACTAATTGCTAAGGATATTTTTTAAAAAATAAAGTCTCTCCTTTTAAAGCCTCCCATGAACATCCAACCAGTGACAAGAGGTCGGGCGTGGTGGCACACGCCTATAATTCCAGCTCTTGGGAGGCCGAGACAGGAGGATCTTTGTTCAAGACCAGCCTGGGCCACAAAGTGAGCTCAAGATCAGCCTGAACTGCATAGTGACAGCCTGTCTCAAAAAGACAAAACAAAACAAAAAACCCAAAGTGACCAATAAAAGAAAAAGTCCCAGGAAATTGAAGCCAAAGGCGCAGGACCTAAGTCATGGGTAGGAGTCATGCTAACTGCCCCAGGGCTTAACTTATGCTCACCGACATCAGCAAGCAAGGTGATCGAGGTGGCAGGTGCATCTCAGCAGCAGCATGCACCCTGCGGACAGCACTGTACCCACTTCAGCTGGACAAGTCTCTTCCCACATCCAACATGGAAGCATGGCAGCCACGCACCCTCACTCACCTTGGTGTGCACTGTGAACTTGACCTTGTCCCTCTCGCTCAGTGCATCAGGTATGTCAATTTGCAGTGAAGGGTCGACGTTCAGGTCCACAGACACAGATCTCAGCTGAAACGGTATTTTAATTATTTGTCTCATCATTTTAGTCCTAAATAGTATCCTTCAAAAGTGCAAAGCAGCCACTGAAAAGCAGTGTACAGATAAGATATTGAGGGCAAAGTCAGAGCTTTATTTGGAAGGGAGGGGAAACCTGTTTTTCAGTCCAGGTGTCCGAAGTGCTCTTGTCATCCGAACAAAGCCACTGTATGATTCTAGCACCAGGTGCAGCTGATGAAAAATACACTTACACATACCTGACTACACAGTAAGGTTTCACTAGATGAGAATAAAAAAGCTCGACTTCTCACACAAATCCTCAAGTACAGAAACATTCAGGAAGCATTAATCAAACCATGTAAAGATGTTTTTTCCAGTACTGGGGACAGAACCTATGACTTTCACACTGAGCCATGCTATCAGCCCTTCTTTAAATTTTTAGTTTTGAGACAAAGTCTCACTGAACTGTCTAGGCTGGGCTCGAACTCGAAAAAAAAAAAAAAAACAAAAAACCTGTGGTTCTCCCGTCTCGGCCTCCTGGACTGCTGGAATTACAAGGGCACCACCATGCCCAGCTCATAGATCTGAAAATGTCCAGAGACTAGGAAAACCTAACTAGGAAGATGACAGAACCATCTGGTGGGATGGACAGATAAATGAGCCTGTTTATATTCAGACTGCTCCTGACAGCTAAGACATCAAGACAGAAAGGGGTGAAAAAAAAAAAAAACTGCCCTCAGCAGAAAGCGGAAGCCCACCATGGAAAGCACAAGTGGGAGTTCCATGTGAGCTGGAAATTTAGGGGGAAAACTATACAACCCTACTTTTGCCAATTTAAACATTTTTCTTCAGAGTAAGACAAGCAGTACAGGCAAACGCAGTTGAATGGTTTTCCCTCTCAATTTACTTAATTCTCAGTATCAGGTGGTCAGGTCCGGCTTCCCCGTTCTGCTTTCTGTTCCTACTGCTGAGGTAAAGCTGCCCAGACCATTAACACAGAGAGAGCTAGAAACGTACTTCTCTCCCCCATGTACCTTCTAAGCACTTCCTCTTTCTTTAAGCACTATGACTTCCAACATGTTTCTTCAAACTATAAAAATACAGCAGCCCTATGATAGCTTTCCTTCAAGTTTCAACTTCTGTCAGCGGAACACTGACCATAGCACCAGCTACTAATAACATCACAGTATAATCAATCCAAACCTCAGCCCAAACGCCTTTTCTTCCCCATGCCTTCTTGAAAACTGTCATGAGCCATGTGCTCTTTGGTTTATTGTTCACATGGCCATTTCTGAGATCTCTGCACAAAAATAAAGCTTGGTGGGTGGGTGGGTGTGGTACCACATGCCTGTAATCCCAGCACTGGGGAGGCTGAGGAAGATCACCATGAGTTTGAGGCCACCCTGGGCTACACAGCGAGGTCAAGACCAGCCTGGACTGCACAGCGAAACCCTGTCTCAAAAAACCAAAAATAAGTAAATATATAAAGCTTGGAAGTCAGGGACACTTCACTGTATCACAAATGACCCTGGCTCTCATAGAGTCCGGATAAAAGCTTCTTTCTTCCTGAGAAATAAAAACCTACACAGATGCAACGTGACTGTCCCAGAACACTAGTGACACCACCTATTCTGCGCAATCAGGGCCGGAAGGCCAAGTGCTGAACCGAGGCTGCCTGGAGAGTGGGATGGGCACTGGAGATGCACTTCCCGGAGCACTGCACAAGTGCTAGCTCTCCAGATTCATTTCCTAAGGAAGTCACAGCCCTGACCTCCAGTTAGCTCAGTGTGCTAACGATTCCACTCTGCTCACTACAGAAGCAAATGCAGAATGAGGGTTACACAACCCAAAGTGGTTATAATCAAGTAAATAAATAGGATTCATTCTGGTACCACAGTTAGGGCTGGGACGCTTGCCTAGCATGCATACATAAGGCCTGGGGCTTGACCCCTAACACCATATGTACAAATTTTTTTTTTAAAAGAACAGAGGTTAACTATAGACTTTAAAGGATTAGAGAAAAATAGTAAGAGGTTTTTTTTGAAAACGGCCCCTCCAGCAGCCATCTCTGCCCAGCACTGGATGTGACAGCCTCCACTGCCACGCAATCAGCTGCCATGCAGCCACACTGGGGCCACAGAAGCAGCTGACAGGAATGTAAATCCAGTCACCACAGAAATCAGTATGTAGGGCCTTCACAAACCAGAACTGCAACTCTGCAGGACCCTGTGCATGCATACAAAGCGACTATAGGAGACCTATACCATGAACTGCAGCCAAGACCCAGAAGTAGCCTAGGAGCCTGTGAATGGATGAAGGCATGAAGAAAATGTGGTGCACACAATGGAGTACTACTCGGCCATAAAGAATGACATTACATCATCTGCAGGAATGGATGGAACCAAAAGCCACAACTTGGATGAAATTGACCAGACTGAGAAAGAGGAGTATGGCGTGGTTTCTCTGATATGTGGAATCTAAGAAGATAACATACAAGGAGGGGCACTGTTACAAAGGGTTGTCTGGGAGGGTAAGGGGGAAGATGATCAAAACATACGCGTGGAGGCAACACCACACTGAGCTCCGAACTTTGTTAAATTACTAAGCACTAACAGAACGTTAAAAACAAACCCCGAGAATGCTCTCAAAGGTTAATGGCAAAGTTCCCCAGGCAGCCAGGTCCCCAAGGACACCCTCTAGCACCAAGTAAAATGGCCCAGACAGGACAGCAAGCCCCAGTAAGTCCAGCCATTCCACAGTCTGAGACAGGAAGAGCCCAAGTTCAAGCCCAGCCTAGACAACTTCAGACCTCAAAAAAAAAAAAAAGTTATGAAATGCTTAGATTTGCTAGATTAGCATCTGGGGGCTGGGGATTCAGCTTAGTGGCACAGCGCCTGCCTGGCAAGCACGAGGTCATGAGTTCAATTCCTGGTACGGGGGCGGGAACTAGCATCTGAATCCTCACTCCACAGTTCTGTGACTCAATGTTCAGCATTCCTTCTTATACTTAGTCAAAGAAATCAACATCCTACAGCACTGTTCCGCAGTACTGCGCTCAACAAAGAAATCACCAGGCTCCAGAGAGGTTATCTTGTTCCCTCTCAGAGCGCCATTATCAAGTCCTGCCGCCTACCAGACTGTCCTGCCTGAGTGGCTGTTATCTCAAATCAGTGGGAAAGGGCTGGCCTCAGTTCTGGTCTTCCTGTCTCTCAGATCCCACACAAGTCTACTTTAAGAATCAAATGTAAAGCCACACCCACTTTTGAATAGTGGAATAGTCAGTTTAACAACTGACTCCTGCAGACTTCCCTAGAAAACCCTGCACTCTACAGCCCATGTCTCAGACTGCTCCCTCACTGGATTGGTCCTTACAGTAAGGAGCAGTCACCTCCTCGCAGAAGAAACAAGGGGGAAGCAGCACCGCTTCCCTTCGAAAGCCAAGCTGTGGGAAAGTCAGGACATTTCTGGCCCAGCACCAGGCACTTGCTGAGGACAACCACCACTGGACATTCACTCTGGGTCCTAATCTCACTTCTGATTCTCTATTCATCAGTGAAGTTCCCTCTTGTAGAGGTCTTCATGGCTCCTCGATGGCAAAGGACACCTCTGTGGCTGACTGGAAAACCGCACTGGCTTAGCCCGGTGCCACACAATCAAAAAGACAGAGGCAAGCTCCACAGCAAACTGTGGCTGGACTGCTGGCCACTTTAACCATTTTATGAACATGCACAATGTGGCATAGGCTGGGCCGGGGATATAACTCAGTGGCATAAGCGCCTGTCTGGCAAGAGTAAGGTCCTGAGTTCAATTCCCAATACAGGAAAAAAAAAAAAACCGATGTGGCACAGGCCTATAATCCCAGCACTGGGGAGACTGCGGCGAAGACTCTCCAGGAGCTCAAGCCCAGCTTGAAGTACACAGTAAGACCCTATTTCAAAAAGCAAAAAAAGGGGCTGGGGATTTAGCTCAGCGGCAAGCGCAAGGTCGTGAGTTCGGTTCCCGGTACCGTAGAAAAACCAAAAAAAAAAAAAAAAAAAAAGCAAAAAACGTTAAAAATGTTTTGGTGCTATATGAATATTGTTGTCTTCCCATCCCAAAGACAACTATAGCTTCATTTATACTCTCCCGACATCTCACTATAGCAATGGTGCACGAGAAGTAGACCCAGCTCTAGCAGGTCACTTGGTCTCATCCCCGCCCTCCCTGGCTGTACCTTCGTGTAACTGAGGCCTGCGATGCTAACTGCTCCCTCAAAGACACCAGTGCAAGACTTTTGACCTCAGGCCACTACCACTAACAGACAATAACCACAAAACAGGTGCAAGCTCAACAGAAAGCAGAAGGGCTGCAGCGAGTGATCAGATTCCACCACTCATCTTGGTGGGTGGGACGGGAGCCCCACCCTGCCACCTCCGACCGTCCTCCTGCAGGCCCAGCACTGGGCACCCACAGCAGAACGCTGCAGGCTGCGCAGCACTGGGGGCCACATGGCCCAAGTCCCTAGAACAGGAACAGGGGCTTAGAGGAGGTCGGTGCGGCGCTCTCAGCGAATGGATAAACTGAATCATCACTTCACAAAGCTGCGAGCCTGTGCACCAACATGACCGATAAGAGACCACGTCTGATTACAACCTTAAATAATTAGCTCATGTCAGGAATGCCATTTAATTATGAGGTACCCACAATTTCCATATCAGTTCGCAAAGCTGTATGATCTCTAAGGCTCTAACTCAGAAATTTTAGTGGGAAATCAGCACAAGACCACAGAGAACGCTAACCAATGAAAGAGAAAAACCACGCCACAGGGCCCCTGTGACAGACCAACCTGGTCCCAGCGACACCCACCTGTGCCTACAGATATTCTGGGGTGTCACGTCTGGAGGACAGGAGGCGACTGTCACAGGGAGAGGCTGGAAATGTTGCTAAACACCTACTGTGCCCACAAGACAGGCAAATGTCTGGCTTAAACTAAGTGGATATTAGTCACGAGGTCTCAAGCAAGCATGCAGATTCAGAAAATTCTCTAAGAGCCTACTGCCCACTGCACTTCCTGTAGTCAGAAAGACTGAGCACATCTTGACCTGATAAGCAGTCACAAATGGGGACCAAGGACACTGTGTGCAATCACTGATCCAGAACTAAGCGTGGGCAGCTGTGATAAGCTGAACTTCCTGAATATAAAGAAAAGAGAAGTCACATGAGTGTGCTGAAGAAACCCTCAGGCCGTAAATTGCAAAACTGTTAAGTGTGGAGTTGTTGCAGCATGAGGCGAAGTGCAGGACGACCCTGGGAACACATTGCAGGCCGTTCCTGTGCCACTGCCCTGCATGGGGTGGCTTCCAAGCTGGCACAGGCACAAAGACCATGCCTGGGAACCATTGTGGCAAACACTGGAGATACTACCTGCCCAAACCCATGGAGCTAGTTGAAGAAAGTCCAGGCCAAGTCAATGTGGTCAAGGTTTTTTTGTCTTTGTGAGACAGGATCTCACTATGCATTCAGGTTGGCCTGGAACTCACAACGACCCTCCTGCTTCAGCCTCCTGAGTGCTGGGATTACAGGTGTGCGCCACCATGCCTGGCTAGATTTGGTCAAGGTTACCACCCAGGGCTCGCAGAGCAAGGAGAGGCAGTGCTTTCCTTCCCCGGTGCATTCACTGGCAGAAGCCTGAAGCTTTCCAGGACCAGAGCCCAGGAGTCAGACTGCACACCCATTGGACACCTCGGGTCACACTCCAGACCCTCAAGGCACTCAGGGACCACGTGGGCAGGGCACACACATAAATACGATGCCCAGCTACTTTTTGGCCTGCAGAGTCTAGAAGGTGCAATACGACTAGAGAAGTTGAACTTATTCTTATGAGCCATGTTCTTTCTGCATAATCCCAAATTTCCTCCTGCCTGATAAAATTCCCAGACATCTGAGAAGTCTCACCGTCAGTGTGAGAGGCAGGCAGCACCATTTCCTTAGCTACCATACAGGTGGGGCCCAACCCTGGTCTAAGCAGGTGCAGAGAACTAGGAACACAAACTATGCAAGTATCCCACTGAACTCTGCTATTCAAGGAAGGACACAAACCAACACCTTCAGCTAAAGCACTTATACAAAACTGAATTGTAGCAAGGTGTGTGATGCGTGAAGATGAGGCAGGAGGATCAAGGTCAGCCTGGACTACATCTAGCCTCAACAATATAGCAAGGCCTTGTCTCAAAGAAAAACAACAAAAATGTAAGTGTCGCTGGGCGTGGTGGCGCAAGCTTGTAATCCTAGCACTCGGGAGGCTGAGGCAGGAGGATCATTGCTAGCCTGGGCTACAAAGCAAGCTCAAGGCCAGCCTGAACTGCAAAGCAAAATCTTGTCTCAAAAAAACCCCCACAAAAACTAAATAAATAAAAATGTAAGTGTCTAAGCACCAGATACAGCTCAAAACTCCGTTAGTTTTGCTTAGTTTGCCAAATGAGTACCCTATTACTGTTCAAACTTTTCAAAAATTGCATTCCCTATTATTTTAACCCCATAAAAACTCCAACCGAATGATCAGAATATATAAACATTAAGCACAAAAACGTAAACACCTCAGTTCTCCATCAAAACCATATCATGCTGCAAGTTTGCTCAAGGCTTGGCCTCCAGGTCACTATCTCAAACAGCCACAAACTCTCTGGTTAACTCATCACCCACCACTGCAAAGCGCCAATTTGCACAGGCCAGGCAGCAAAATGAAGCTGTGCTAGGTAATTTATAGCTAAAAAAAAGGGAGGCAGAATAAGACTATAGACACTAAAACCCGGAGGCAACCGATACCCTGTTATCACTCCTCCCCATTTTGCTCAAGACCAAGAGAGTAAACTGTTTTAAAAAACCACTCTCACCTACTAAGGTGGGACGCTGGGCACTCAGTCCTGATACTACCAAGAAAGTGAAAAGGAAAGATACTTTACTGGGGGAAAAAAACAAAACACAAAATGACTACCAAACGCCCTATCCGGTACGGTTTAGGCAGAACTTGGGTCTCAAGTTCTCACTTTATTCAACCAAAACAAATCTCTCAACTTATTTTTTTACAGGCAGCAGATTTTACTAAACATAGAAAAGCTTTATCAAACGTAAGAAAAGAATCAGGTAGGAAAAGCAGCATGCCCCACAGCGTGGGTGGCCACCCTGCAAGAGGGAACACAGTGGCCTCTCAACTTTTATTGTGGCCTTAAACTATGTAGCCCAGGCTGGGCTCGAACTAGCGGCAATCCCATTTCAGCCTTCCAAGCACTGGGATTACAGGCATGCGCCACCACACCGGTCAACTTTCAAAGAAATAAAACATCTGATCAAAACCTTCCCTGTCTATCCTGTCGGCACAATCCACTTGCTCAGGTGCACAACTCTGGTATTTACTACTTTCTAACAAATGGTGGCTTCATGCAAAGATCAAGGTGGCTCCTGAAGTCAAAGTTTTCAACATGACTCCTAGGTTCTTAAATTGGAGACACCTAGGATTTTTAGATTTCCTTTAAAGACGATTCCACATAGAACACTATGGCTCACAACCTCTACGCAATGCGAAACTAGTGGCTCAAATTCCAAGGAGCAGTAAGAATGAAGACCTCTGTATCTCTGACAACAGCAACCTTAGCTTACTGTATCAGTAATAAGCTCAAAATACAGGCGGCCTGCCTGGGGATTACAATGATACACAGGCCTTAAAAACAAAAGTCGAAGCCCAGCGTGGTGGCGCACGCCTGTAATCTCAGCACTCGGGGGGCTGAGGCAGGAGGACCATTGCGAGTTTGAGACCAGCCTGGGCTACACACTGAGCTCAAGGCCAGTCTGAACTGTATACTGTGAGCCTGCCTCAAAAGAAAAAAAAAGTCGAGAGCCAGGCAGGGTGGCACTCACCTGGGAGGCTGAGGCAGGATTGCCACGAGTTCGGGGCCAACCTGGACGACACAGCGAGCCCGTCTCAAAAAGCTAAAAGGACAAGCTAAGTATTTGAGCATCTACTAAAAATCAGTTCTCACGACACACGTAGTTGTAAGCAACAGGCCACAACTGTGTGACTTGATGGAAATTTCCCCAGTTGCTGAGCATTTTCTACCAAGCGCACGCCTGTAATCCCAGCACTGGGGAGGTGGTGGCAGGAGGATCGTTCCAAGTTCGAGACCAGCCTGGGCTACAAAGTAAGCTCAAGGCCAGCCTGAACTGCATAGCGAGACCCTATCTGAAAAAGACAAAAAAATTAAAATAAAATAAAAATTTAAAAAGCAAAAAAAAAAGCTTTTTCTGAAGGAGGGCAGGGGGCATTTAGAGGCAACAAAACCACCGCCATTTCTTGCTTGTTAAGTGGATTTCAAGCTCATCTTCCAGTTACCAGAGACCCAAGAGAAGTATTAATTCTTCTGTCTTTCACAAGGCCTCGCTGTGCAGTTCAAACTGGTCCCGACCTCATGGCGATCCTACTGCCTCGCCCTCCCGAGTGCGGGGACCACGGCTGTCCACTACCACGCTAGGCAGAAGTCTCGGTGCCAGACTGTTCTGAGGTCTCCAGGGCGAGCCCGAGCCCGGCCAGGGGTCTGCTGGGCACCGGGCGCGGGCGGGGACCCCCGAGGGTGCCGCGGGCCTGGCCCCTCCCCAGCGGGAAGATGGGGGTCCCCAGCTGTCT